ATTATTTTCTGCTGATAATTCTAATAAATAATAACTTTTTATTGATATCATTGGTTAAATATAAACATTTCTATTTCACGTCCACTGTGGAGCGACTGCAGCTGAACAGACGCCATCGTGCACATGGCTCTCTGAGCTTTACCGTTGATAAACGGCGCCCCCTTCAGTGAGGAGCTGACCTTTACCCTGATTACGGTTGCTTCGTTTTGAAGGTACGAGCTGTGACGATGCCTCTGTGCAAAGAAACGGCAACAAAACAAAACTGTCGCCATCCAACGACAGGCGAGTTCTGGAAACAGGTGATATTCTCCTGCCCGTCAGCTCAGACATGCTACACAAATACTGTAATACCTGAAGAGGTACCGCCTCTTCAGGCGAGTCATCGGTGATGTTTCTGTAATTCTTCTACATGAGGAAAAGATTAAGTGTTTCAGGAGGCAGATTAACCGTTTAGTGACAGAGTCACACCTGAAACACCCAACAGGTGGCCTCACCTGAAAAATTCAGCGAGAATCACGTGAAGGCTCAGAGTGTCAGGATCTAGCAGGTAAGATCAGAGCCCGCCCACAGACACACACCAAACCGCCAACAGCTTCACTTCCTCCGATGTCCACAAACAAGCCATCTTTTATATACAGTCTGTGGTCTCCAGTTGCGCTGAGGTGAAGACGCAGCAAAAATGTCCATAGACCCTCCCCCTGGTGTGGCGTTTAAGATGATGTCACAGGTAAAGTCCTGGCTGTGTGGGCGTGGCGTGAGGAATGAACGCGAGGGTCGGAGGAAATCTGTCCAATCCGATTAAAGCCGCCGTGTTTCCTCCTCGACGCTCGGTTACTTAAGCAGGTGAACTGAGCGTCACACCTGAGCTGCACTCAGCTCCGGTACCTGTTTCTCCCTCAGATCAGCGTCCGTCTCAAGCTCCTTCTCTGCTGTCCTGCAGGACGAGGTGAGGGCGGGAGGAGGACAGAGAGCTGGTCAGTGCTCTTGTTTACAGATGTAGAACATCTGTCGCTGCAGGGTCAGGGGTCAGAGGTCAGAGCAGCACTCACGGTTTCAGTTCGGCGGTCCTTCGTGGTCAGAGCGAGGCTGGTACCTGAGCATCAAGTAACAGCGGCAGCTCGGCTTCCTGCTGACCGAGGTCCCACATCGCCGCAGCGTTTACCTGCTCAGGTGTGTGGTTTCAGTTTGACGTCACCCTCGCCGTGCTGTACGCCAGGAAACGTCACAGGTAAAAACATACCATCAAACAACCAGAGGACCCCCGGGGTCCAGGGACTCCCCGTGTTTGCGTGGGTTCTCTTTGGGTTCTCAGACTTCCTCCACAGTGAAATGCAGTTCGTGGGGTTAGCTTAACTGCAAACACTAAAATGGCCCATAGGTGTGAATGCGATTGGTTGTCTGCGTCTCTGTGTTAGCCCTGCAACAGACTGGCGACCTGTCCACGGTGTACCCGGCCTCTCGCCCTAGGACACTGGGATAGGCTCCCGCCCCCCGCGACCCTGAAAAAGGGTGGACAGTCTGTACCACCAGGGGGAACACACACATTCTCTAAACCACGTGTCAAAGTCAAGGCCCGCGGGCCACATCCGGCCCGGCGCACATTTATATCCGGCCCGCGAGATCATTTTATACAGATGTACTATTATTGTTATGCATGGCCCGGCGATATGAGGCGCTAATAATATACAAACTACAGATCTCATGATGCAGTGCTGCAGAGAGACAAGTTGATTCTGAAAGCAGAGTCTTTCAGCAGCGGTGCGTGACTGAATATATGTTTACAGACATGCTGGTAAACCGTGTGTCTTATTAGTGGAGCTGATGTGGCTGTAATTTAATTTAAGACTGCACTACGAGACAAAATGTCAGGATCAGCTGAAAAACCTAAACGCAGAAACGACAGGAAGTAGACGAGCTAAAGAAGAATCTGACGTTTCAGCAGACGTTCATCACCAGAGCAAAACCACAAAGTGAAGCTGTTGTGAAAGCAAGTTTTATCGTAGCAGAGGAGACAAAGCAGCCCGGTACCACACAAGAGCTGCAGGATGAAGCTGTGCGACGGCTTGTGTCCAGTCAAAATGCAGAGTTTGGCAAATGTGAGCCTGAGCAGAAATACGATTGCTGATCGGTTTGTGAGACGGTCACTGATTTAAGAACACAGTTGTGTGAAAGAAGCAAAAACTTCACTGCATACTCTCTTGCTGTGGATGAAAGTACAGACATGATGGACGCTGCACAGCCGACCATCTTCATCCGTGGAGAGGAAATATTGGACATTAAATCGATGCACGGGACAACGGCGGGAAAAGGCATTTTTAAAAACGCATGGCAAAGTGTAACCGACATGAAACTGCCCTGGGACAAACTTGTTGGACTTACAACAGATGGAGCGCCGGTGCTGTGCGGTGAAAAAAAGCGGACTACAGGAGGAGAACTGCACCGCTGAGTTAACACATCACTGCATCACACACCAGGAAAGGCTGTGTGGCAAAGTCCTAAAAATGGAGCATGTAATGATCACTGCGACGCAGACCGTACATTTGATCTGAGCTAAAAGTTTAAATCACCGTCAGTTTCAGTCTTTTATGTGGGAAATAGATTCAGAGTTTGCAGCTGGCTGAGTCGGAATAAAAGTTCTCAACAGAGTTTCTGAGCTCAGCAAGGAAACCTGTCAGTTCATGGACATGTGTGATGCGGTGAAGGCGTTTCAAGTGAAGCTGTCACTAATGCACCAGTGCAGCCTGCCTCACTTCCCCTGTTGCAGTAATGTTGAACCAAGTCAGCGGACTTTGCTGAGCTGCACCTGTGCAGATTCAGATGCAGCTGCAGTGTAACGATGCACTCAGGGAAAGACACTGAATGGCCGCACAGTTTATTAGCGCCACTCCTGCAGCTCCGTCTGCATGCGGCTCCAACCTTGTGTTTGCTCTCATTTACTTTTCCTTAGGTTTTGGCAGCATGTTCATATTTCTAACTTGCATCATTTTGACAGGATATATTTTTATGAAGAGCAAAATATTTAAAGATAAAGTTTATTGTTTTAAGTTTATTTAATCTGGAATAATATTCCTGTCTGTTTTATTCATATTTATGTTTAAAAAACAGTTTTAGTGTTCAGTGAATGTTTACCTTGTTTGGCCCGCGACCTGACGCGTGCCTTGAGTTTGACGCCCCTGCTCTAAACCGTGCGTGCACGTCAGCAGACTTGCCGCACACGTTGCTCCTTACAGGACATCAGTGTGTTTGAGTCTACTGGTCTCAACTGGAAATAACTAACACGTCTCTTGATACTGGCTCAGCTCCCAGCTTCTGTAGTTGAACCAACGTTTTGGAGAAAAACGATGTTCTGGACATTTTCCAGTCTGGTTCCCACAAACTGCACTGAAACAGCTTTACTTAAAGTGTGTGGTGACATGTTGATGGCAGCAGACTCTGGAGAGTACACCGTACTGGTTATACTGGATCAAAGGCCTGTTCGGGATTACTGGTGTTGTTTTAAATATCGTATCTATCGGAGACATCTTTTACCGTCTGTGTGAATCAAGTGTTGTCATCAGCTCTGCCACCTCAAGGATGTGGCGAGGTCCAGTTCTGCCTCCAGGCCAAATGATGAGACCACAGCATCTCCTGTCATCTCTGTGCTGATGGCATCAGGTGCTCTTTCAAAGCTTCTGAGTTTTATAAATTGGCTTGTTTGAATAATTGTCAGAAATCAAACAGTGGTTGAACCACAGCTTCCTCCAGCTAAATACAGATAAGACAGGAACTTTTGCTCCTGATCACATGATCTCAGCTTTTAAGGCTCTTCTGTTCAATCGCGTGTCAGAAATGTGTGCGTCCTATCTGACGCTTCAGTCTGAGAATCTGCGCACGGCTCGTTCGAGCTGCTTCTTTCAGCTGCACACTTTCTATCTGCTCATGTAAAGCTAAACAGTTTCATTATGGATCAATGTGGCTACACTGTTTATCTGTACATGACAAGAAAACCTCATCTGTGTCAAACGAGACGGTTTAGCTCCTCCCACTAACCAGCAGGAAGGTGAAGACCTTTGAAAATGTCCTGTCTGACATCACGCAGATGCAGGAGAAGCCTGAGCTCATCATCAGAAACCCTGTTTAACACGAACGTCCAGCACCAGAGGAGTCACATGACAGGAAGGGTAAAACGGTCTCGAGGGTTCAGTCTCCTGAGGCTACGTCCACACTGGCCCGGATAGATTTGAAAACGGCGTTTCCGCCTGAAAACGCTGTTTTCAAATCTATCAATGTGGAGGAAAAGCAGCGAGTTTGTTAAATGGACTCACACTGAGGTGGAGCCGTTGCTGCGAGTAACACAAAAGTACAAAGTTGCAAAAGCGAGTGAGAGTTAAAGAATTTGAGGAAAAGCTTTTTGGAGCGCGTGCAGGCTGATGTTCATCTTTAACAGGGCTGTCAAACAGAACAGCTGCTGTGTAACGCCCTCCGCTACCTTTGTTTAATTGGCCACATGACTGCATCACATGACTAACATGCGTCATTGTTTTAGAAAGTTTGCGTTTTTGCTGTCCACACTGCGACGCGAAGCACTGTTTTCAAATCTTTTTGTTTTCGACAGCGTTTTGAAAACGCGGCGCTTTCGTTCACGGAAAACGCCGCCTCAGTGTGGATGGGACGCCAAAACGGAGAGAAAATGTTTTCAAACGAAAACGCAGCCTGGAAGTCGGTGATGCATCTGTAGCGACCTCGCCTCCTTCAGCCCATTTAAATGCGAAGCACTTCAAACCTACCAGCAGGGGCGACTCCTCATCAGCTGACCTGAGCTCAGTGAGGAGTGGCGCCCAGCTCGCGGCCTCGTTGACGCCGCTTCTGCATTTTGGTTTTTGGAGCGCAAAGTGGATTTGTAACCTGAAGTGCACACGTGCAGCTCGTGACCGAAAGGTCGCCGATGCCTCGTCTCTGGAGAGATGATGATTGGCCGAGAGGACAGACACATCGATGAACTGCTCCTGAGGACTGGGCGATGGCGTACAGACAAGAGCGAACAAACGTCTTTTATTCTTTTAAATGTTGGGAACAAAAACTTCAGAATTACAAACGACCCATTAAAAATTCCAACACACAGAGGGTCAGTGAAGGACACACGACCACTTCAGGAACACATACAAACCAACAGAAAACTGAACGCTCTGGTTTGAAAACAAAGAAAGGCTTAATGCACCTGAGAGCAGGAGCCAATCAGCAGCCTGAGAGCTGCGGCCTTCAGTCACCAAATAAAACTCGTGTACACTTGGAGAGGCGGTTCCAAAGAAAGAACAAACCTTTGGTCCCGCCCGTCACAGTTTCAGTCCCACAGCGGCTGCGGCTGTCCCGCCATCGACATGTACTCGTCCAGCTCGGCGTCCAGTCGGCTCCGGGACGTGGACATGTAGTCGTCCAGCTGTTTGTCCAGTCGGCTCCGGGACATGGACATGTAGTCGTCCAGCTCAGCGTCCAGCTGCTTCTTCGTTGGCACCACCTTTCTGCTGCCACCACGCCCCTTTGAAATGGTGGCCCCGCCTATCCGCAGCTTTACCCCATGCCGTCTTCGTCCTGCCAGAAACAAAATTGATAGATTTACACAAACAGGAGTCAGCAGGTCAAAGGTCAGCAATGTAATGCCACTCCCTCTTTGGTTTGTTTCCATGGAGACAGGATTCACTTTTAGTTTTCCTGCTGTTGGTTCTTGTGCGTTTGTGTCCTGAGAGACACCGTGAAGTTTCTTCATCTCTTTATTATCTGACCCTTTAGGTCCCTCCCTCATTCGGCCCCTCCCTCCGGGCGGCTTAAAAGCCCGCATGGTCATTTCCTGTTGGGTGTCAAAGCCAAGCCAGAACAAAGTCATGAGCCTGTAAATATAACCATGCAATGTTCTGTGGAAGCCCCTCCCCCTCTGTAACGCTCATAGGTACAGGTAACCCCGAGCTCCAGCCATAGAGGCTGTGTCCCGATTGAGGGTCTGCAGCCTTAAAGGCCGCATTTCAAGGCCGATTACGTCACAGCGGCACAACGAAGGCTGTCCCAATTCAAAGACTGCTCCAAATGCGTCCTTCATTTCCCTGAATTTTAAGGCTGTGGCGGTGTACACTTTGTAGCCCAACATATCCCAGAATGCATAGCGCGGCGGTGGGTGTGGATAATTTTGCCGGAAAACACGGCGGAAGAGGGGCGCCCGAAGAGTAAACTTTAAGTAAGTACTGAATATGATGTCACTTATTTCTGTGCGAATGTTTAATAATGAAGAACATTAAAACATGACTGTTGGTCACATGTCGGCAAAGTCATGTGACGTTAGTGACGTTTGTACTAACTTGGTTTTAAAGCCTTTAAATATGCGCCGTTCAATAGTCGACCTTAATCTGACAGAGAATGTGATGATTTTGTGGATAATTAAAGTCAGTCATATATCCACAAACACAACAAGCTGAAAGTCAGTGATGCTGCTCGGTTTGCAGTCCTGAACATCACGGCACAAGCAGGATTCACTGCACTGTTAATGTTAGCTGTGTTATATTGCTGCCTCTGTTCGGTGGTGTCGAGCCAAACGGACTTTAACGTGTGTTTGAACGAGCTGACGGTTCACTCGTTAAGCTGAAAGAAAGATGCTTTAATCACAGCAGTCACACATGTGTCCACTGCACCATCTGGAACTCTTCTTGTTTACACTCGTAATAACACAAACACTAAATCCTGCTTCTCTGGTGCTGTTGTGTAGCAGTGTGTACACCTGAGACTGTCACCTGTCTGTCTGTCCTGCACTCTCTCTCTGTTTCTTTCTCTCTGATTGTGGAATAAAAGTATGAACATGTGTTTATAAGTTACACTTGTGTTTGAATCCTGCAGCTTATCACACATTTGATTTCCATGTGTGACGACTGCAAGTGTCCAGAGTGAGGACAGACTGAGGGACCCACTGCTGCACATCATCTGTGAGGCTTTGCACCCCTGATGATCCACCAGGACAAACTCAGCAGTGTGTGAGGAAGAGGAGGAGGAAGAGCCAGCAGCAGCTGACAGATGGAGAGAATAGACAGACTGTTCCCTGTTTGTGAAGGACTGCTAGGAAAGTTTAACATAACTGTCTGTGCTGAATCAGTCTTATTAGGTAATGTTCAAATAATGTGATCATCCCAGTGTTTCCAGTGTGGGAGAAAGTACTCAGAGTACTCAGGGCCTTCAAGTTACACACTATGAAAGGCAGCAACAAGTTTAATGTTCAGAAACCTAAAGTCTGTATCAGCAGCAGAATGGAGCTAAAATAAATGTTGGTTTCAGTTCTATGAAGCTTTGAGTATTTTGGATCAGTAGCTGCTGTGTTTGTTGCATCATGTTGCTGTAACTGTTTATATGCTTTATATATTCTGAGCTAAGTTGATCTATAGTGTTACATCATATTCTATAAGGATGTTATGTGTTTGTAGACTTTCTGCCCAGTTTGACCCATTTAGCAGACGTCAGCCTGTTTAAGAGGCTCAAGAGGAGTTTTTATCCTCAGACCGTTCGTGTGTTGAATCAGCCACCAAAAGAACAACATTCGTCTCTTATATATGACACATCTATATATACACTGTCAGTGATGCTTGACTGTCTTTGAGTGAAGATTTAAGGTGATTGGAAATGTAAATAACTGCAACTTGAATCTTTACTCAAAGTAGAGTTCAAGCTCACTGCTGTAATGAATCATAATAACTATAATATTGGCCATATTGTATTTAATTACACAGTGAGATGACTTTAGTCTCATGAACAACATCAGCTCATTGTTATTTTCTAGCTAATCTTAAATGACTGTTCAGCACAGGAATGAAGCCCAACTATCATGTTTCAGTCCCGTGGTCTCAGATACTCAGCTAATCAAACACAGCTCATGTAAAAACAAACACATGAACAAAAGATTTTCTCCTTCCTTTCTTTCAAATAAAGCTGTCTGAAACGCTTCCAGCAGTTGGTGTCATGGTTGCATTTCACAGGCCTCGCACTTCTTAGTGGTGCTTGAGCACCGTCAAGGCTGCAGACCCTGAATTGGGACACAGCCAGTGCACCAGAGCAACCTTTAGCCTCTGGCAAAGGGCCTTTGACCTCTAAACTTTTAACCTTTGACCTCTGAGGAGGGGAGATTTCAAAGCTCTGACTCAGTAGGGGTCAGCTTAGTAGAGCTACTGGGACACGCCCCCCTGGCGGTCAGCCCTCCAGCTGTATTTAAACGTCTTTGAATTTAACTGGCAGACCGTAGCTGTGCCATCAAAAACAAATTTCCCACGTGTGGGACTAATAAAGGTTATCTTATCTTATCTCATCTTATCTTATCAGATGCACGAATCAGAGCGCAGCTCTCCTAACCCCGCCTAACAGGTCAAATCGCACCAACCGTCTCTCCACAGCTCAGCATGAAGCTGTGCTGAGAAACTCACCTGAGGTCAGCGGTCTCAGCTGGCTCCGCCTCCCGAGTCGACCGCGCAGACCTACTGCTCCTGCAGAGGAAACGCACGCACAGGTGGAGCACAGGTGAGAATTCTACTGCAGCTTCAGTGTAGCGAAGAAGGCCACACACTGCTGCCCCGCCCACTGCGTCCAGTGTTTCAGATACTCACGCCTGCAGGTGGAGGTGACCCGCGCTCTCCACCTGTATTTGTTCATGAAGCTCCAGAAGCCTTGATGCGCAGAGGCTGACGGGCGGCGAGTTACCCGCTGCCAGCCAAGTCGAGTCCAGACGCTCCTCTTCCTCCTCAGGTGACGATGCTCCGCCCTCTCAGAGCTCCCGGCAGCCTGCAACACAGAGACACAGCAGCTCGCTTTTACGGTGCAGTAGCTCGCCATCCACTTGTAAAAACGGACCAGTGTGCACATGCTGAGAACCCTTATGATGACGCAGCGGTGACCCGTGGGGGCGATATAACGAATGCACTGGATGCACCGCGAGTTTTCCACGTACGATGGCTAAAATGACTTTATCGTAACTATCCAGTACAGGTTGCCATGGAATTCTGCACCAAATGCATCATTAACCCCGCCCCCCAACCAGACACTGTTCTACCTGCGCTGAGAGTGCATGTTTATACCAAAGAGGGAAGAAGATTGCGACAGAGTTTCAGACTCGCTGTCGTTTGATTTCACGAGGATGTCGAACAAAACCTCACACTGGTTTGGTCCCACAAACACCTCACGACCCCATCGCGCCAGGGATGGTTTCACTGTTTTCAACTCCACGTGGCGGCTGCAGCGTGTCAGACGAGCAGGCCGGTGGTCCTCCGATGAACACCTGGGCCGCCCTTCTTCACAGGTGACCTGTGACCCCTCTGGGACTCACCTGTGGAAGAAGCAGCGATAAGGGAGCTGACTTCATCAGCAGGACCACGGGCAGGGCAGCGGATGCCCTCTGATGCAACCTGGAGCAGGTCTGCTGTTCCACCAGGACTCTGGAGAAGCTACCGGAAGAGAGAGGAGTGAACGTCAGCACAGTGTCCCTGACCTTTAACTTTGCAGGACGCAGGAGGTCATGGTAACTCACCGCTCGTGCAGGGACACCGTGGATGTTCCTCTGGGGCGAAACGAGCCTGGCTCTGATGACTCCATCTGCCTCTGGATGCCGGACCCTGTTCACCTGCCGCCTGATTCAAAAGGATAAAAGCTTCATTCAGCACGGAAACCGGAAAAAGCAGCAGCTCCGGTAAAACTGCCACTTCCTGATGTCTGCCTTCATATCGGCACTCTTCAAAGAGCCCACACACAACCCTGTTCATTTACACAGCTGTTTAACTCACACAGATATCTCCCGTCTTTGAGCCGGAAATGCAGATAAAAATTTAATTAATCTCGCTTCGTGGTTCAAAGGTCAGCCGAATTTCAGAGGAGGCCTCAGTGGCCTCGTGGTGTTCAACACAGTCTGTGAGCGCTCTCAGTTTCCGCAGGTAACACGGAAATTTCCAATTTCACTCTGTGCTAAAGCGGCGCTGGCCCGCCATTTTATGTCCGCGCAAAAAAAAACAGCGCTCACAGCTAACGTTAGCTTCCACAGTTCACCTGTTCAGTTATAATACGTCACCCACGCTTACCTGAATCTGAACGTCCTACCGGGAGACGCTCACGGCTTAAAACAGACACACCTGTTACTAACTGTAAGGTCACTTCCGCTTGCTAACACTCGTGCTAATTAAGCGCAATGCTAACCCACAAGCTGCTGTTAGCATTAGTTTTACAAAGTTTAGTTTTTACATATCAGCTAATTCCTCTCCACAGGTTTTAGGTGAGCTCCGGTGAGGCGAGCAACAGCACCTGGTGTTTCTCTCACAGCTCAGCCGCTAAATGTAGAGGCCAAACCGCCGTTAAAGTCACGCTCTGTCCGGGTTAACCGCAGCTAACGGCCCGCTCTGGGGTCAAGTTCACATCTATAAGTCAGCAGCACACACACCTGTGTCAGACTCACAAACACAGAAGCCCACACAGGTGAATGTGTGTAGAAACTTGTTTGATCCGCAGGCAGAACTTTAAGGCTCCAGCAGTACAGAAGGCTATTTCTGCCAATAATTATTATTATTTTGTTTAACCAGGAAGATCCCATTGAGATTAAAAACCTATTTTTCAAGGGAGACCTGGCGAAGACAGGCAACAGCAAGTGTCTCACATTTACAAAAATTACTCAGTTAAACTCAGGCAGCAAAAACACGCATGCAAAAATAAATAAAATTTACAAAAAAATAATATAATTCAATAAAATTCAGTTAAAATGACAAACTAATTGAAACAGTTGCATGTTGTGGACTTGGCCTCAAGGATTCTTAGTTTAGATTTCAAACCACTTGATGAGAGTCGTTTCCTGCAGTCCGTTCCAAGCCGAGGGGGCTAAATGGTCAAAATCTCTTTTGCCAAGTTCAGTTCAGGCGGACGAAGAGGATACGACCAGCATGTTTCACTGCAAGCAGGGAACATATGAAGGCAGCAATCCGATTATTGCCTTATATGTAAAACTGTATAAATGAGAGTTCCTCCTAATGGCCAAAGCAGGCCGTAGAACTCTGAGTGGTGAGTCTGAGATTTACTGTTAGTGATGAACCTCAGAGAAGCACGACACATAGGATCAACACGAAGCATTCATATATAGAATAGACATTTCTATCTGTCTCCAGCACAGATAAAAACGTTGCAGCAACAAACTGCTTCTTTGTATTCAAGAAAAACGCGACTTATTTTGAAAATAAAATCGCAGTTAACTTCAGTGTTTTTACGAGATTCTCTTCATGTGGTTTGAAGGTGAGCGAGTCATCCGGATATTTCTACGTGTGAACCAAAACATCGAGTCGTGGTTTAAAGGAGAAAACACAGTTAAAGAAAAATCTACAAATCAAAGGTTCAAAACAAACATCCAAATTAAATTAAAGACTGGAAAGGTGGTCATGAGTAAAACATCAGGCTTGGTGGGTGGGGTGGGTTTTTCAAAATTGCCTTCATATTCTTTTTTCTTTTTACTATATAAATAAAACATTAGAAAATATGAGACATTTGAGGCTGGGACTTTGGTTTTCTATTAAAGCGGCATCACTGACCGCTCATGGCTTCAGTTGTGGATGCTGGTCCCCAAAGACGTCCACAGACTGGAGGCCTCGGCCTGCTCGGTGAGGGCGTTCTCCCTGTGGGAGCTTGACAGAGCTGCCGTCCTCGGTGCAGGACCAGTCAGTCTGGGACTGAAACCGCAGAGGTTTCCATGGCAGACGGTCGGAAAGTCAAGAGTTGGCCTTAAAGAGGAAGAGGACGTTTTATTGTGAAAGAGTGTGTGCAGCAGCTGCAGAGTTTTAGATTAACGAGAGGAACACACTCTTGTTTTTGTGTCTTTATTTATTGTAGGGCCTGAGTGCAGACAAATGTCACTCTGTCCCTTTTTGTTTCATCATAAAGGTCAGCTGTTTTTATTTTGCAGCTTCAATGTTTCTGTCAAACACGAGAAATGTGTTTCCTCGACTTTCGCCACCAGATGGCGCCAAACACACACACACACACACACACACACACACACACACACACAGGAGGGCTGTGATTGGCTCTCTCACGGCTGAAGTCACGCGCACAAACTTTCTGACAAGGCAAAGCGTGTTTCCGGCAGTATCACAAAATAAAAGCTGCAGTAACTTGTGCGGAAATGCGGGGAAATGAGTGAAAGGAGAGTTTTTGAAGCTGCATTTTGGAAATATTTTAGTTGAGTTGAGTTTTAAAACGTTTCTTTAACCCAGGAAACATCTCTAATAAGTGTTAATATATTTCCGTTAATCATTTTAATCATTTTCAAGCCTTAATGAGTAAGCTTGCCCTAACGGGATTTGATGCTTTTCTTTGTGACGTGAGAATGAATTTAGGTTCACAATGAAGTAAAACTAGGTCAACTAAAAGAAAGGAAAACTTTAGAACGGGACAAATAACTAAAACTAGACAGCGAAAGCACGATTACAGGTGAATAACTGAATAGCCACTTTTCAATAACATAAAAAATAAAATAACATAAATTTTAAAAAGAACAAAAATCAAACCACGCAGAAAAATAAGGCAAACTGTAATTATCACTGTATAAAACTTAAATTGATTGTGCAGTGAACTCAGACAACGCACACAGGCAACATTACAGTGACATCGATGACAGGTGGCAGGTGTGCAGGCAGGAAGCACAAACAGGTAGACCGCAGGTAAACGCTCCACTTCTTAACAACGCTCAGTTTTGTCTCTGTGCTCTTATTTTGGAAGGCCCCAGAGGTCGCCAGACTTCCTGTTATGTCTGGCCGTCGGGGGAGCATGACATAGCCCCCACCTCCTCCTCCCCCCGGTGAGCGTGCAGACAGTCTGGATGCAGACGGAGTCGCACGCGGACGCGCCGACGGACGAACCTCCGGCCTCACGGACCCGGCAGCGGATCATAGCCGAGCGGAGAGCGCCGAGCCCGGTGAGTGCGCCGCAGGAGCCCGCTGAGAGCTTTTGTAATTCTTCTGTGAACAACTGTTGATGCAGCAGTCGGGTCAGCCAGTGAGCGTCAGGCATCGTCAGCATCTGATGACGTCATAGAGCCACGGTCACGACGTCATGTTGCTTACAGTTTAATGAAAAAATGAAAGGAATCAGTAGTGAGACGAGGATGTGCATGTGTGGTGATCCTGTCTCCTCCTCACCTCTCTGTCTGTCTCAGAGGGAAGTGACGTGTGTGGGGGGACAGGAGTACTTCTGATCACTGACAATACGATCAATATCAGCCCCTGCTCTGTATCTGTGCTCAGGGACCGTATGAGGTCACCTGTGGATCAGCTATAGGATCTGTTCCTGGCCCACGGGCACACCTGAGCGTCCCACCTGTCTGTGTGTTCCTGTCATGTATTTCCTGTTCCTCTGGCTGGTGGGTTCACGTGAAACCTGACAACGACCTCAGCGTTTATCACGGGTCTGTGTGATGTCACCGAGGGCACACAAGCCCCACCCACATAGATCTGTCCGGGGAAGTCTTTTTATGGATCTGATTGTTGAGCCGTCTGAGCAGATTCTGTTTTACTTTATCAGGTGACCATGTCGGTGCTCGGCCCCGCCCCCAGCAGCGCAGACGCCTGCCTCAGCATCGTCCACAGTCTGATGTGCCACCGGCAGGGCGGCGAGAACGAGGGCTTTGCCAAGCGCGCCATCGAGAGTCTGGTGAAAAAGCTGAAGGAGAAGAAGGACGAACTGGACTCGCTCATCACCGCCGTCACCACCAACGGCGTGCACCCCAGCAAGTGTGTCACCATCCAGAGGACGCTGGACGGCCGGCTGCAGGTACGGCGGTGAAAACCCGACAGAGGGCCCACAGGAAGGCTTGAGGCTCAGAGAGGAAGTAGTCACCTTATTTTATTCTGACAGAGTTAGAAAGATAACAGGACTTCAAAGAAAAAGTCTTTAAAGTCTTCAGGCTCCGCCCCTCACCTGGTCTGCACCTGATCCTGTCCTTCCTGTGTCCTCTGTCGGCGCTACAGGAGCTCCTCACCGCTGATATAATAATAATAATGATGATGATGATGATGATGGAGCTGTGAGCAGCAGCCTGGGTGTGTCCCCCAGTGTCTCAGTAATTATGAGACCAGAGGACAGAGCACACCTCAGTCTGCTGAGCAGGTTCACACCAGGACCAGCTGATCCGGCCCACAGCGCACCCCCTCCCCCCACAGTCCCACTAAAACATGCGACACCTTCTCAGGAACTTCTGAAACATTCACAGGCCCTTTAAACCAAAACGTCCCCACCCCACGAACCGTAAAAGGAGACGTGGTTCACCTGAGGACATTGTCTCCATCCCCACTCCGTCATCCTGTGTATGCTGCTGTTAAAATGTTTCTGTGATAAGTTCAGGTTGGTGGGAATATGCTTTAAGGATGCAGGGCTGGGCGGGGCACACAGGTGAGCCGCACACCTGTAGCAGGCTCCTGTCACGGAGCGCTGCTTCGTTAAACCTCAGCCTCCATTCGCCGCAGCGTCGCCTGATGAGCGAGCTCTGGAGCGTGTGCCTGTGCGAGGGCAGTGGGCCTGAGCTGACGCCGTTTCAGTCTGAGGGTCGGCATGTGAGCGAGGAAGACCCGAGAGATCAAACCTCAAAGGCATAACCAATAAAACGGAAGCGGTTAGAACCGCGTTACAGCGTCGGTGTGACTGCAGGATCCTGCAGAACGTCGCAGGTCTCACATCCAAACAGCAGCAGGAGGAGGAGGAAGGGCAGGCTGGCTTGTTTTGTCTGAAACACAGGAAAGGGGCCGGGTTAACTTAAGCCAGACAGTCTGGTGTGTGTGTGTGTGTGTGTGTGTGTGTGTGTGTGTGTGTGTGTGTGTGTGTGTGTGTGTGTGTACAGCTGTCTTTGTGAGCACCTTGTTAGACTCAGGACCCGTTTGTGGCCCTCGCTTCAGAGGCTGTTTGAGGGTTCAGAGCCGGTTTCAGGGCTCAGGTTTGGGTTCAGGGTCGTGTGTGTGTGTGTGTAAGCGTGCAGAGGACGGGAATGTGGACTCGTCTGGGACTCTGGTGGATTTCATACCGCAGAGTTTCCACACTGTAAGAAATGACGTGCTGCTGCAGACATTGACCCAGAGAGGACGAGATGATTTTGTCTCCCATTAAAAAATCGAGAAGCTCAGCCTGTGGCCAAAAGCAGAGCTTTGTCTTGACTTTTACATCAAATATTTCTGTTTCTGTTTGGTTTCTGTCGGCTCTTTGAGTTCTTTTCTCCTCGTTTCCTAGTTTTGCTCTAACAGGTTTACCTTTTAGAGGTTAAAATCTCAGCTTCATGTGTCAGAGTGTAAACGTTTCAGTCAGTGTTTCGCTCTCACTCTTGTCTTAAACATGAAACTTTTACTTCTTGTCTCATAGTTTTAGTTCAGCGAGTCGACGTTTTCGTCATCCTATAGTTTTGTTATTTGATTGGTTTAGTTTTGGATTTTGAAATCAAACCTTTTGCGTCTGAATTTTTTAATCTATTATTTGTCTCAGTTTTGAATTATAAGCAGTGTTAGTGTAATATCTCACATATTTGTGTCACAATCTTTTCCTTAGATATTTGACTTTATCTGATTTTTTTCTTGGATTTCTCCCTTTCAGTCGTAGATTTGCATGAATAACAATAAGACGTCCTTTTATAATTTTCTTGTGCTTTTTGTTTGGTGATTTTTCTACCCGGGCCTCCGTGTAAACCACTGATTCTCCGTCACCTCGTCAGTTATGTTTCTAAATGATGTCCAACTCGGTCTTTAACGTGTTCGTATTTGAAGGAAAAGTGCGATGTGTGTTTCTTCTCTGATGAGCAGTTTGTGTTTTCACTTTTCGTAGTCAGGAGCAAACTGGAGACGTTCCTTCTGAATGTGTCATCATGTGAAAGCTCTCCAGATCAAACAAACAAACCCTGGTATATTTGGTATCTTTGGAAAGCTTTGCTAAAATCTTTCTGTGTTGCTGTTTGCTTGTTTTGGGGTTTGGATGTTGTTTTTGCAGCATGCCTGCTTCTCATAGCTCAGAGAGGTGAACACGGCGACACCTTTGGAAAAAACCCAGAAAACAGGAACAAACACAAGTATTAGTTTGAACTTAACACTTAAAGTTTAAGAAACAGAGTAAAGACACGAGGAGAGTCTGAACGAGCAGGCGGTCGTTCAAAATGTGGATAAAAGGTGATTTAAAAGAAAGTGCTGTTTCAGTTTACGTTCAGTGTGGGGACCTGGCCCTTTGAGCAGGTTTATGAAGACATTTTTTGCAGCGTGTGTGTGTGAAATTGTTTTGTCTGCAGTCTTATCCCTGCCCTTCACCTGTGCACACAGAACAGACCTCGTCCATCAGATTTAAAGCAGCACATTCACAAACCTGTGGCTTTGAGACGTTTACAGCCTGCGGGGATTTTCTGAGTTTAAAGTTTGTTTAGTGAACGCATCGGTGAGAATAAACATCCTCATTAGGATTTTCCTACAATTAAGGGACCCGGTTAACACGCAGCAACATTCATCATCAAACGTTTTATCGAACAACTTCTAAATACTCGGGACCTGCCTCTCTGTGGACTTCCTGCTCCATAGGGGGCGCTGTCGAGCTCAGCAGAAATGGTTCCACCTTTAGACGTTTCACAGGTTTTCTCCTGCAGTAAACACTTTTTGTTAGAGACGTCACAGCACTGCGAGGTGCTTTACAGCGTCCTCCATTTTGGTTTGGGGCGTGAAGCGAGCAGCCTCCTGACAGCGTCGCCTTCACCCCGCTGCTCCTGTCCTGCACACCTGGAGCTCCTGCTGGGCTTTAACTGTGGAAACAGGCACCTGTCCTAAAACCTTAACAGCACAATCAGCACGCGTTAGCAGCATGCTAGTGTTTTATGGTCAGAATTAGCTTCACTGAGAGGAACTGAAGGAGGAAGAGTGCTTTTATCCAGGCTGGATTCATGGACACTGAAATCCAAAGTCTCTGCTGTGTCTTGTGGTGTGTGTGTGTTGTGTGTGTGTGTTCTGTGTGTGTTTCTGTGTGTGTGTGTGTGTGTGTGTGCTTGTGTGTGTGTGTTGTCTTTGTGTGTGTGTGTGTGTGTGTGTGTGTGTGTGTGTGTGTTGTGTGTTGTGTGTGTCTGTGTGTGTCTGTGTGTGTGTGTGTGTCGGGTGTGTGTGTGTGTGTTTCTTGTGTGTGTGTGTGTGTGTGTCTGTGTGTCTGTGTGTGTGTCTGTGTGTGTGTGTGTGTGTTGTGTGTGTCTGTGTGTGTTGTGTGTGTTGTGTGTGTGTGTGTGTGTGTGTGTGTGTGTGTCTGTGTGTGCGTGTGTGTGTCTTGGTGTCTGTGTGTGTCTGTGTGTGTGTTGTTGTGTGTGTGTGTGTGTGTGTGTGTTTCTGTGTGTGTGTCTGTGTGTGTTCTGTGTGTGTGTGTGTCTGTGTGTGTCTGTGTGTGTGTGTGTGTGTGTCTGTGTGTGTGTGTGTGTGTGTGTGTGTGGCTCCAGAGTGTCTTCGGAAATAGAAACGGTCACCGCGGTGTTTAGTCTGACTTCTGCTCAGACACGAGGGCAGATAACAGAGACGCTCCAAAACCTTCAGAGCCAACAGGAGCACACATACACACACACAGACCACCCACCAAACACACACACACAGAACACACAGAAACACACACAGAAATGCCAGTTAATTAACTAACATCCAATCAAAACCATCATCGAACTCGCTCTACCTTCTTCTCGGTCTGTTACTATGGTAACTTCACAGCAGCCATGTTATTGGTCAGATGATGTCATTAAATGCTCCAAAAGGCTCCAACAGCACAAACACAGTTGAAATGTCCAGAACAATGACTGTATAAAACATGGATGACACGACAGCTCCCCAAAAATGAAGCCAAAACGTCTCTATCGCCCCCTGGTGTCTGGCTGCAGTATAGGTCATAAACCCCGCCTCCTCCATGTTAGCGGATGGGACTGGGGTCAGACTAAAATAAATTTATTCTCCTCAGATAATTTTTTTCCAAAGATTCTTTCTTTTGTTATCAATAGTTCTCATCACGCTATTGATGTTCAAGGGGTCTCCTCTCCCATAAGTTTGATTCTAATTCCTACCGCGGTGATGTTAAATTGGGGTGAAACGTCATCATACAGCTTTGACTGGCAGCTGCAGTCACGGAGAAACTTGCGTATCTCTGTTCGGGAATAGCAGATAGAGCGTAGGCTCTGAGAGGAGGGCCAGCGTTTACGCTACGAAAACACGACCGAGTGTTTTAACCTGAGATGGACGATACCACTTTTTTATGTCCGATACCGATACCGATATCATAAATTTGGATATCTGCCGATACCGATATGAATCCGATATAGTGTTTTTTAATCAACAAAACTGTTTTTTAAATATCTTGCTGCATTTTGCAATAAGTTCATACTCAAGTTTAAAAACAACTACACTAAAGCTATTCTGTTATACCTGTATACAAAAAAAAAATTTCATAGTTCAGCAATACTGATCAATCTAATAAACTTAAACCTACACCATCCTCCCTATTCTGGTATTTTAAAGAGTACTTAGCGTAAATATTAAGCAACCTAACTAATAGGGTTCCAACTCCCAGCAACAACAAAAATAAATAAATAAAAAATAGGGAACCACCCCTCACGCTCCACCTCATGATGCTTAATCGACGTAATCAACCTTAATTTGATGCAGTGTGAAAAAAAATGCACAGAAATCAATTATTTTTCAAGAAATTTTAAATAGATTCAACATCTTTCTTCAACAAAATTGCAGACTGCACAGATGGTACCTTCCCAAAGGAAAAAGTACTATAGCTTACTAGGG